TACTTTTGTATTGAGCACTGTTTTTTAAATAAAAATACTAAAGAACTTCGGATTATTTACCTAACGTGTTCTTTCCTATATATATATATATATATATATATATATATATATATATATATATCTTGTGACTTAACGAACACTCGTTGTCACTTTCGTAATACGCGTTGTAGAAAGAGACTTTTTGATCGCAGATACAATTAGATACAACTATAGTAACGCCGTTGAACAATACTGGTGTCAGACGCCTTCGAATATCACTCGCACTAATAGTACTTGCATGACAAGTAACTCTTATAGTGATCTGAATAGAGAAATAGTATAGTGAATAGCGGTCCATATAGTAATAAAGGATAGAACAGAAATAGTAGAGCAATCAAGACGTCAGCCGACTTCCTATATATGCTTTTCTTATACGGTCACGTCATTCACTTAATTCAATAACGGGGTCGCTCGTGTTTGCTCACTACATTCAAACTCAATTATTGGCAGCGACACTTTATTCTTATATAACAATATGCGTGTGTGTGTGTGTGTTTTTCTCGTCCTTTGACGGAAATTATTAAGGCAACTGTGAATATTTTATTTTGCAACACATATTTATAAACAAAAGTTAGCTTTCATTTTATTTTAATTTAAGAGAGGATCATAAATATTCATCAGGTTAACTGAAAACTCTAGGTGAATTATGGAAGATTCTAAGTGACATAATTTAACATCTAATAATCGAAAATGAGTAAATGATGTCGAATATTTCATGCACTAAAGACTTACATTATTTCAGTATGGGATACATTTATCCATTTTTACTAACATACACACAAACACACACACACACACTATATATATATGTGTGTGTGTGTGTGCGTGTGTGTGTGTTTGTGTTTTGAACAATAAAAATATTGAAAAATTAAAATTTTCAGACACATTGGGTTGTATATTAATATTTTTTATTTTATTATTTCATTTAACTTCCTCGACTAGTTTTGGAAGTCAGAAATGCTTGCCATCATCAGGTGAAAAAGAAATTGCCAGCTTGTTAGTAACAGTAAACTGAATGAATGAATGAATGAATGAATGAATGACTTTCTGAAGAAAATGAACTTTACCCGCAGTTTTCATCTGTTTTTTTAACGTTAAGTTTATTCAGTCCGTGTGTTGGTCAAACGGCTTATTTTAAGTTGTTTTTAAGATACTGGCTGGAGAGATTCATGCTACCCTTGGTCATTTTGAGAATTTTATTGGTTTCTGGGAAAAGGATCTGTTTCTGTTAAGTGTGTGTCATCATTTAGTTCTTCAGGAGTATTTATGATGTGTGTAAGTGTATATATTAGTATGTGCGTGCGTATAAGTGTGAGACCTCAACACCTCCGCAAGAATGACAGTCTTATGTGGGTGAGAAATGTGGGTAGGGCGCTTGATATATATATTGCTTGTAAATCTTTCATGGGACAAAAACAGACTATTATTATTGTTTTGTCTGTGTATTGTTTAATACATTGAAATGTAATTATCATCTTTGATATTGGCTTAGACAGAATTAAAAAAACATGGTGATTTGCTTTCATCTTTCATTGATAATGTTATTAAGCTTATCAGACAATATGAAAGTAATTTACTTAAAATAAATAGACAAAACTTGTCTATTTTACTTAATGAAACATGCATCAATATATATATATATATATATATATATATATATATATATATATATATATATATGTGTGTGTGTGTGTGTGTGTGTGTGTGTGTGTGTGTGTGTGTGTGTGTGTGTGTGTGTGTGTGTGGAGAGAGAGAGAGGAGAGGGAGATGTTGTTATTTTTAAAAATTCCTTCTTACATAATATTTAGATGCGGCAAAATTCCGAAGGTATGGGGAATTCAGTGAGGATCGAACTCACTATTCCGCCACTGATCGTGCAAGATAAGCTTGCAAACCATTACACCACTTCGGAGGGTCCTATGATTTTCTAAGCGTAACTTCGATGTGGGATAAAGTCGAAAGTGTGAAGCACCCAGTGAGGATAGAACTCACTATTCTATCGTAATTTATCTAGCGAAAATTTCTTGCTAAGCATTACACAACGTCGAAGACGTCAACCCTTTTGGCGTTGTGCCATATCTAAGTTACTCTTTGTTGTAGAGTAGTTTTCACAGTGGAGGCTTGTATTTCACTAAGTCGGTCCTAAACAAGGGCCGACGTACAAAACGTTAGGAACTTGAAATAATAGTTAATGACGCAGCAATCTAGTGATGGTGGTTGATACTTTAATGTCCGACATTGACTGACTCACCAACTCACTGAGCTCCTGACGACAGCTACTATTCCTACTTATTATATGTGGGAGAGTCTATTAATAATAGAATAGGTATGTTCCGGTATAACACTCTTAGAAAATCACCCTTACGCTACATCGAAGTGATTCAACGAAATCCTCTGACTTACCTACTTGTCTACCTATTTATCACCTTTTTTTCATAGCTGCCTGTAAATCTACCTGCGTAAAATCAGGAGATCAGTGCTAAATAATCCCGCTTAAAATATTTTCCTATATGGCAAGCCAAAGATTTCTTTCCCTGTTTTAAGCTACAGACACCGTAATTGCAAATCGAAAGGCGAAAGACGTTAGAGTAATAAGTTGAGAAAAGTTGGTTTGGATTTGACATTTTCCCTTTTCTCGTTGCCCTTTGCAATTCTAAGAGCTGTGGTTTCTTCCAAAAATTCTAGTCTGACGTCGTGGTTTGAAGCTTTTTAACCATCACAGTGATTTTTATGCGGGCGCATAAAGTTAGTTAATGGCATTTGGGGACAGGTTCAATTGCTGCACCATGCTGAACTACCGGGCGTCTTTTATGGTTGTTTTACTTGCAAAGGAAGACGTGAAAGAAAAGCAATCGAGCCACTGGGTTGTTTATTGCAATCCTGACGGCCTGTGGAGTATTGAGTTAACGCTCAACTGACCAAAGCAATCACGAACAGAACATGGAAACAAAGAACAATTATGGTGTATTGATAATATTCGACTTTCATTGTTATAATTGTGTAACAATTTTTTTTGGTTTTCGTTTCAGATATATAAATATCTTACACAGGTGTAATTATGAATTAGAAAAGGAACATTTCTTTGTATTGATCGCCATAATTCATATATATATATATATATATATATATATATATATATATATATATATATATATATACACCTAGTGAGCCAGACAAACATACCTAGGTTTCCCTTAAACGGATCGTCAGGGAAAGGTCTGCTCTACGGTTGTATTGAGCTCTTTTGTTAGTTAGTTGTTTACTCGTATCGGGGTTTTTTCTTTGGGCTTAGGACCTGCATCTGTGCGATTTTTTTGTCGGCAGAAGTTCATGTTTATAGCTCTTTCTTTTCTTAAAACCTTTTTTTCCCTTGAGATTGATTTGATTAGCAAATCAAAAATTCGGGGGTTTTTCGAAACGAGTCTAGTTTTTATTTTATTTATTAAAAACTGTTTCTATTGCGTCACAGAAATTATTGTTTCAAAACTAAAACTTCAATCTTAAATTAAACTTAAAATTTGAAGATGCTGAGATTAAACTTACTAAATTAGGAAGTTTAAATAAACTTATTAACTTAGGAATATATATGCCTGCTTATATGGCCGTTCTCATCTATATATCTATCTTTATATATATATAGATAATTAATTAAGAGCCAGTATTCCCTGACGATCCGCGTAGATGAAACCTTGGAAGGTTTATCTGGCTCTTTAGGTTTAATTTAGTTTGCTGTACTTAGCGTATTGAGCACTTTACTTAGTTATTTTCTTACTCGTATCGGGATTTTTTCTTTGGACTCTGAACTTGGATGGTAGACGATTGTCTTTGGCTGACGTAGATGTTCTCTGTTCTTTCTTTTTCTGGTACCTTCTTTTTACGTGGGGTATTGGTTTGTTTATTTACAAATCAAAGGCACCTAAGGTTTTTCGGACAGTATAATTTCTTATATTTATAAGATTATTACTAGTATATATATATATATATATATATATATATATATATATATATATATATATATAATTATTTATTTAAAATTATAACATAAATATGTTATAAAATAACTACAAAAATAGCCATTTCGTTTCAACACCTCCGGTGTCTTATCATGTGATGATGTTGGTTATTGGAATTTATTCCGTATACACCAATCATATATATATATATATATATATATATATATATATATAATAATATTTTTGTTTAAAAATATGATTCCTTCGCTACATAAGAGTTCTCATGTTTTCAAAAACGAGGCCGAAATATCAAATAATTATTAAAATTAAGTTGGATTGTGCAATTTTTAGTCCGTTTCATCTTCAAGCGAAATTTTAGGAATAAGCTGTCTGTCGGTTTACGAGTATTTTTTGTATTTTTTAAACCTATATATATATATATTTGTATATAGGCCTGTTTATATGCCCGTTCTCATCTATCTGTCTTTCTATCTATCTATTTATCTGTTTGTATTTTTTACCATTTCCTCCCAAGCAAAGCGATAATGCCACTAGGACGCAAGGGTTTTCTGGGAGTGAAAAGAAAATAAGAAGGCTACTGAGGAGAATGGATAATAAGATAATAGTATTCAGAAAGACGTGAAATTACATTTAAATTTTTATAGAGTGTAAGTGGAAGGGAAGCACAGACAAAAATGGAATAAAAGAAACTAGCAGAACAGAACTTTCGGTTACACCGGACCGAATTCCACAGCAAATCGAACTGAGCTAGTTGCCAATTTAATTCTACTCTTAAATGGATGCTGTCGAGATATAATGTTGCAAAGCTCATTAAAATGTTTACCATGTAAGTATTTATAGAATTGGCGAGTAGAAAGTCGAAATGCCAGACCAGGAACGATTACATTACAAACCCTTCTTTGGATTTTGTCAAGAATCTCGAGATATACATTAGATGCACACCAAACTGGATATGGCAGCAATATTCAATGCACAGAAAAATAGTAGTTTAATGCATGTCTGTTCCTATCTATCTATCTATCTATCTATCTATCTATCTATCTATCTATCTATCTATCTATCTATCTATCTATCACGATCTTTTATCTATCTCGATCTTTTATCTATCTATCTATCTATCTATCACGATCTTTTATCTATCTATATATCTATCTATCTATCTCGATCTTTTATCTATCTAACTATCTATCTATCACGGACTTTTATCTATCTATCTATCTATCTATCTATCTATCTATCTATCTATCTATCTATCTCGATCTTTTATCTATCTATCTAACTATCTATCTATCACGATCTTTTATCTATCTATCTATCTATCTATCTATCTATCTATCTATCTATCTATCTATCTATCTATCTATCCTAGCCTGTTGCTATCTATCTCTCTATCTATGTGTGTTGCTCTGTTCATATCCAATATCCTCTGTTCAAATTAGCGTATCTTTCCTCCTTCAGTGTTCTGCAAGTAAGGGATGTAAATGAGATTGACACCAGCGCAGCATGTCGGTTTTCAATCCCAGGTTTAGCTGTGGATTTCAAATGCTACTCTTCAGCTAAAGCAGGTCCTCCTCGCAGGAGCACTTCGAAATACACGATTTCGTGACCTTGCAATCAGTTTCTTCGTTCATTTGCTAAGCCAGCCAGGCAAAAAAGCTTTATGTTTTTTTCATTCTTTCTTGATCTACAGATCTCGGTATCTTTACAGATATCATTACTTTTATCTGTTTTAGACTAAAGCCTAACTGAGTTTTATCTGTTCGTTTCATTCTGAAGATCAAGTGACAGCAAATCCGCCCACACGCCATTAATCTCCTTGGTAATCTGGCTAATCTTTTATCGAATCCTGCCGTTCTTCCATACTCTCTTTGTTCTCTTGGTTATATTTGGCTAAAACGCCCCTGATCAACAATTATATTTCTCCAGTTCACACTGGTCTTTTGAGCCGCTACTGTATATTTCTTACAAGTCCTGTTCTCTTTTAAGTGCGTCTAAGAATTTCTATATTATGGAATGAAATATATATTGCAAAAGCAAGAGCAGTTTGCCAAAATACGAGGAACGCCAATAAATATCGCGACGTAAATGGAAAAACTTAAAAAAATTAGTGGCATCTTTAACGAGTACTCTTCAGTAGTTGGCTATTTGCATGCAGTATCATATAACTTAAGGTTATAAGGATTTGTTCCTACTAAATTGTTTTATTAACGATATTTGCATTTCGAATAATTATCATTTGTATATTTCCTCTTTTAATTTTACATTTTTAATTTTTAATAAAAGAATTTTGCATTTCAAATAATTATCATTTAGTGTAATTGTCTTTTTCAATTGAATAAATTATAATTCAAATACATGTTCTTCGAATATTGTTTGGAATAATGTTCACGTCATCGTGTCAGATTGATAAAGGTTAGACATTCATCTGGTTGACCATTCCTACCGAGGAATGCCTTCAATTCTAACTAGGTGCTTCATATAGAATTCGGTTTTAAACATAAAGTAAATGCAAAATTAAGCAAGCTAACCTATTGGAGTTCGAGTCCTGAGTTAAGACTTTTTAATGTTGACTTTTAAGGACACCAATTAAGAACTTTCTACAAAGACGATTGGAGCTTATCACTTATTTAAATCCAGTCTTTAATGTTCGTTCGTTTCACCTGATAATTCCCTACATCCCATTGATTTAAACACTTGGTGAGCGTAAACATAAATTAATATTGGATTATGCGTTTTCTATGTACACATCGCTTACGGTCAAATCACGCTGAAACACCGGTTCTCGTACGATCACCGAAGTTAAGCAGCATAGAGCCAGGTCAGTACTTAGATGGGGGACCGCTTGGGAACACCTGGTACAGTCGGTGGGGGGGTGTAAACGGTAGTGTCAGAGCTATGCCGCCCGGAACTTCGTTCCTGGTAGGGCCACCCAAGGCGGACAGGTCTGACACACACGCCGGCTAACAAGGGCTCTGGTGAAAATCAAAGAGCGTCTGCCATCGGTAACCGGCGGCTTCTGTCTCTGCGTCTGTGGGAATCCCGCGGCAAGCAAGAACGTTATCCGAGTAGGCCTGGGTACCCTACTTCTGTAATTTATCCCAAGAATCTTCTTCTCATAACAGGAAGAAGCCGGTTCAATCCGCCCAGGGTGAATGCCGCATCAGTACAGTACAGTATGTACACATCGTGCGTATTTCCTATAAACTCCGGTAATTAGTTTTTGGGCATTGGTAAAACACCCGATTTTGAAATAATTGTTTTCAGTGTAGTTTGTATTGGAAGGACTAGCAAAGATGTCTGTGCTGGAAGGATTAGAAAAGATATCTGTGCTGGAAATACTAAAAAAATGACTTTGCTGGAAAGACTAGAAAAGATGTCTGTGCAGAAAGATCTAGACAAAATGTCTAGAGGGATTAGAAGTCTTTTTTTTTTACAATTCAAATTAAAACATCAACCAATATCTTAATATATGGTTCATATTTGCTCACACATGCAGATCATAAAATCAGTCTAGATACACATGAACTGGAAGAAGAAGAAGAACAAGAAGAAGAAGAACAAGAAGAGGAGGGGGAGAAGGAGGAGTAGTCTGTCCTTACTGAAAGCCAGATCTTCTTACAGCTTATCGGTTGAAGCGGTTTGGCCTTTTGTCAGACTTAGGTAACATTACTGAATATTCATAATGGAGACTGTTTTCCATCTTTTTTCCGAAATCATTTCAATATATAGTCTACCCTGCGTTAGACACCTCGGATTTCCGAAACTGGATAGTCCCTTGACGACTGCCTTCCACGACAACTGAGGTACAACTATACAACACCACATACTGCACACCCTCCCTGAGTCAAGAATGTAGTGGGAGGGAGCAAAGTAAATAAGTTGCCAACTATGAATTACGATCTGTCTATATTTCTGAGTTGAGGCATTATGTACAGTATTTACATTATTTGGACTATTGTCCGGATCTTTGTTGCCATATTTATCACAACGTTTCGGCCGTCGCACGCTCCGGCCTTCTTCAGGTGGTTGGAATATCGAACTGAATCCTTTATTTCGCTCGCTGGTGTAGACTGTTCTAGTTCCACGTCCCATGTCTAATGGATGTCAGTTTTCAGTTATCTCTTGTTAATTCCTGTTAAGGAATCAGCACATAGGCTACAAATTTCTCCTGAGCCGACCAAGCATAGAAATGAATACAATATGGGAACTAATAATAAGAGAAAAGCGATAATAATAACGAAAATTGCAATATGATCACTGGTAAAAAAACATGCAATGATAACAGCAAAAATTGCAATATGAGCACTGGTAAAATAGTTGCTGAAGACATTAGGTTTATAATACCCAGAAATTGACATACAGATATCCTCAAGGACACATGGCACAGCAGATAAAGGGGTTAGTTAGTTCCAGCAACAGGACCCAAAGAGTGTGAATTCAATACCTGGTTAAGGCGGTAGAGAACTTGGAGAGGGGAATTAATTAGACACGGCACGTGGAACTAGAACAGTTTACCCTAACAAGTGAAATAAAGGGTTCAGTTCGACATTCCAACAACCTGAAGAAAGCCGGAAACGTTGTGATGAATATGGCAACACAGATGAGGACAATAATGTAAATAGTGTAGGGATTAGTAATACTGTTGAGGTAACAAGACACCGCATTTGACTAACGCATGATTAAGGAGATAATAGTTCAATTGTGATTTTAATTATTTCTGTCCTTTCTTGCCATTTATTCAATTTATAATCTTTCTTTTCCTGCAGTTTCGCAGGGAATACGATAGTATTATTTGATTTTCCTCAGGAATACTGCCAGATTTTTCTCGAGAAAATTTTATGATATTTCTGGGGAATATTGCCAGATTTTTTCTTTGAAAGATTGCCAGGTCTATTTCTCAACAAGCTTGCCAGATCTTTCTGTGGCCAGATTTTTTTTCTGGCTACCTTCGGAATTCCAGATTTCTGTTCTCTCTTATTATTCTGTCTGTGAAATTGGTTTCTTTGCGGAGAGGAAAGGACGACAATCTATTCAATGGGCCGATCTGTTGTTTTGTGAGCTATGGTCATTCTTCTATAGTCAGTCGTACCGCCTGTCTTCAAAATCTCGCTTTCTCAATAGAAGTCAAAAGCCATCATTGTGGCAGGCGAGATTTTTTGTCATAATAATAAATCACACTATGCAATGTGATTTCCATTGGCCACGTAGCATGGAATGCTGCCGACTACTTGTCAGTGACGAAGAGAGTACAGTGAATGTGAGAACATCCATAACCCAGCCATTTTTCCAAACCCCTTACTAGTTATAAAACTGAAATCCCAACCGAAGTGCTTGTAGGCGGTCTCCTTTTTTACTAGGAGGCCTCGCCTTTTCCAGAGTTACTGATTCACCTTTTTTTTTCCAAGACATACGACCATCAACTGACTGGATGAAATATTTAGTATTTCAGAAGTACGACACATTTCCAACAACCTATATACTTGCTTTTTTGTAATTAGAATATATGTTTTTTCTAATATTTAACATATTACCCTATCTTTTAAACACAAAATGTGACGCATTCTGAGAAACTGAACATGCTCTGTTTTTTGGTCGGTATTTTCTTACACGCGCAATATTACTATCGAATTCAATATTTGATTGTAAATATACTGAAACTGAAGATCAGGTTGTAAAGTTCTTCTACGTTTATTGTTGACAAAGAGAGGAAAATAGTAGAACGGAATGGGAATATAAAATTTGTGACGAAACCCGTGTCAAATGGCTTCGTTGAAAAATGGCGTGAATATGAAGTAAATGTCAAACAATAAAACGTAGAGAGAGATTACGGAGATTTTATACTGTGAATTCCATGGACGGGGCCTAATAATCAACCTGGAAGCGTTAAAGAAAATGTCAACAGAAAGAACACTTATGCTCAGAATCAGGAAGCGAAAGCGGAGAGAAAGCATATTGATGTCAAAATAGATAGGATAATGCAACAATGCACTTACCTAATGTTATAACCTAAGGAAGGTTACTAAATAGAATATTCAAACGAAGGTTGGTAATGAACGATAATACTTAGGACAAGAACAACGCATATAAGATTCGCCAGCGGCGCGTAGAAGTAGTAATCAACTGCTAGAAGTGAGTCAAGTAAATTACACAATGAACTGCAGGATATCTACCAACTGCCCCACACCGTGAGATGTGGCACAAGGCCGAATTTAATATGGGGTATCTGAGCCCGTAGGCTCGCCAAATCATCCGCGTACACCCCGTATAAAACTGGGTCGGGTAGCTGTTTCCCGAAACGAGTTTCTGCCCTTCGACATAGCCTCGTCTGGGGATCCACTTTATCCAAAGGAAGAGAGTTTGACCAGAATAGCTGGAGACGGATCAACAACTGCAGGATATCTACCAACAGTTCTACGCGCTCAGATGTTGCACAAGGCCGAATTTAATGTGGGGTATCCGAGTTCGTAGGCTCGGCCAAAAATTTT